GGATGGAGAGATTGCTGTTTATTAAGAGCACCTTCTACTATTGCAGAGGACCCGGGCTCAATTCCCAACATTCACAAGTGGCCCACAACTGTCTGTAACTCCAGATACCCTCACCTGCCCTTCACAGGCACACGCTCGGTACAAGTACATACAGTCAGGCAAAACACTCATGCATATAAAATAAAAATAAACCTTAAAAAAGGAAAAAGAGAAAGAGGGGAAATGGGGGTGGGGGGAAGACAAGGGAAAGTGCGATAGAGAAATGAGAATTGGGTAAGGGTGTTTACTGGGCCCAGGGGATTCAGCTGCTAGGTAGCGGATCTGAAAAGACAAACCCACTATCTGTCCCAGCTCCCCACCCTCAGTCGGGTTGGTTCTGTACTTAAATGTCCTCAGGTTCTTCTGTTCGAAACTCACATCTATTTTTTCCCATTGTGTGTATGTGGCATGTGTGCGTTCTCTCATATAGGAGTACGCAGGTATGACAGTGCTCGTGCGCGCGTGCGTGTCCATGTGGAAGCCAGAGAGTGACACTGGAGGAGACCGCTTTCTTCACCCCCGGCTTGAGTATTGTGCAATTCCTTCAAGGGAAGAACACCTCACAGGATCCTATGAATATGCATACTCTGTACCCACCAATATAAAACTTACGTTTTCTGTTTTATAAAGAAGCTATCTTGGTAGGTGTGGACAAGTGGCTGTTCCTTGAGTTATCTAGGTTTGGGAGTGTTTTGGTATGGGGGTGTGAGCTGAGCCCACAGCCTCACACACACCAGATAAACTCTGTACAGCTGAGCTACATTTCAGCTCTCCTTTTATTTTGAGACAAGGTCTCATGAAATCGCCCAGGTCAGCCTCGAACCCTTGATCTTTCTGCCACAGCGTCTGCAGCAGCTGGAATCTTAGGTCTGGTCCACCAGCTGGCTTTCAAACTTTAGCTGCAGCTTTGATTTAATTCGTGCAACGTGCCTGCTGCTCCGAGCTTCATGTGGCCGTCACAGAAAAATGTTTTTCTTAACTTGACCTACTCAGACTGATAATCTTATAAGATTTAAAAAATGTGTTTATTTATGGGGGGGGGAGTGTTGGAGATAGTGCCTTGCACATGCTAAACACACGTCACATCACTGAGCCACACCCCCAGCCACTGAACGGAAACAGAGGGTAGCGCAGGAGCCGGAGCTTTCTCTGCATCAGCGCGGCTTCCCTCCGAGTGAGCTCAAGATAGCTGCTGTGACTTTGCAACCAGGTCTCGTGTTCCAGACAGAAAGTGGGTGAAGGGTGAAGCGCTGAGTCGAAGAGATCTCTCAGCATCTGGTCTTTGTCTGCACATTAGAGGAGGGGTTTTCACGCTTGTCAGCCTGAGGTCAGAGAGATGTCAGGTGGCCACTGACGTTGGCAGGTAGCCAGGAGAAGCTGACCTAGTTGCTTTTCAGTTGAGTTCTTAGGATTTTAAGGTGTGCGTGCGTGCGTGCGTGCGTGCACGCCATGGCGCATGTATACTTGTCAAAGGACAACTTAGGGAAATTGGGTCTCCCCATTCACCTTGTAGGTTCTGGGGATGAAACTCAGATCATGAGGCTTGGTGACGCTCACTACCTGCCCAACTATTCTCAGCTCCCACAGGGCTCCACCGAGCTCTTCTTACACCCCAAGCATGTCTTCTCTGGGTCCTCCTTGGCCCCACAGGCTGAATGACTCTCCACAGCCCTGCCCTGACTTCCCAGCCTCCTCCCTGAAATGCCCTCCTCTCCTCCTGCTTCCCTTCCTTTCTCCCCTCTCCTCTCCTCTCTTTTCTCTGCCCTCTCATTTTCCTTCCCTCTACTCGTCCTTATTCCTGCCACCTACTGACAGACTGCAGGAGGAACAGCCCGCACCCGAGCCCCAGCCGTTTCCATGGATCTGGGCCCAATACAAACAGCCAGGACCCCCCACCTTCATCCTGGCCTTGGGAGTAGGGTTGGGTGGGCAGATGAGGTCATTGCCACAGGCCCCCCAGCAGGCCAGCGGGCCTGTGAGGGGAGGAAGTGTTTGTTTGCTCTTGTTTCCCTGGCAACTTGCTGGACCCTTCCCCCACTCCCATCTCTGAGCAGGCCAGCAAAGCTGCAGATAGGACCACTGCCCCTTTCCAGGCCATACCTTGCTGTGCTGAGACCCCAGGACACAGTCCTAGGCTGCCAGGAAGGGGTTGTAAGCTTTAATCCCACTTCCAGAGGTGGAGTTTGGAAAATGGAAGTTAGACCATTTCTTCCTGGGGGGCTGAAGATCAGCCTGAAGCTCCTCCTGCTATCCTGGGTGACAGCACCGCCCTGGGGGTCCCTTTACGGAGGCACCAGGTTGGGGTCAGCTCCAACCTTCCAGGAGCGGAGCCCAGCCATCCCTGGCAGGCAGTGGATGGAAGAAGGACAGGACAGAACAGTGCCCCAGTGTGGCCAGTCTCCAAGCAGCTCCAGGGTCTAGGGCACCAGTAGGGCCCGGCCCCGGGCCCGGGCCCCAGCCCCAGGCTCACAAGGTCAGTGGCAAGTCCCTTCCAGGTTCTCTTACGTGATGAGGGGTCATGGAAAGACCACAAATAAGGGGCCCTCCCAAGTCATGCCAGGTCAACTCAGTCTCCAGAAAACTCAGAGGGGTAACACATGGGGCTTGTGTGTGTGTGCATGGGCAGGCAGGTTAGACCCCCAGGAACGGCGCCAGCCTATCCTGCTCACAACCCCTGCTGTTACCACTCCCCACTCTAACCTCCCCACGCCGACCACAGCTCCGGTGGGAGCTTACCCTGAGCAACCTGGCCCAGGTGTTCCTGAGGCCGGCAGCACACATCCACTGTAACCAAAAGCCTGCTGAAGCCTCTGCTGGCTCCAGAGCCCAGCCCACTCCTTTCCCTTTTCCCAGTCTGTCCTTCCTCTACCTCCTCTTGTTCCTTCCCTTCCCCTCTGTTCCTTCACCCTCCTCCCCTCCTCTCCTCCTCTTCACATCTTCTCCCCTGTCTCTCTCCCCTCCTCCTCCATCCCTTCCCCTCGGTCCCTCCCTCCTCTCTACCTTCACCCTTGGTGCCTGAAGTCAGCCTTACAGGCCAGGCGGGATCCAACCCAATACCTTCCCACTGCCGCACACGCGAGCCTTTCTGAGACATTACCTAAGTGCCTTCTTACCTAATCCCCCAGCCATCTCCCACGCCAGCCAGCCCCGCTGGGAGGAGAGCCAGATGCCTGCCCAGGCCCTGGGCTCAGCTCAGGGAGTTGCCTGGTTGGTCTCTGGTCCCTAGCCCCTGCATGTCCTGAGCCTGTACCCCCACCTTTGAGAGACCCTCAGGCCACCCCATTGAAGAACCCCATCTCACGGGACCACCCCTTGTCTATGCTCGTTTGCTGGTGCTCATGGAGAGACACTCTGTCCTCTAAGAATTGCTGGGGAACATCATCTTCAACTGAGAGTAGGAAGTACCTTTCAGGATTGAAGGTGTCTCGGTCCACTTAAGGAAGTAACTCAATGGGAGAGATCTTTCTCCCTGCCCTGGGCATCAACGAGAGCCCACACACCAAGAAGCTCAGATGGAGGTAGGTCTAGACCTTCACCATGGCGGACAGCTGCTCAAGGCTGACTGCGCAGGGGCTAGGAGGTAAGCTACAGCCAGCACTGTGTCCTCCTACAGCTACGTGCACACAAACATACATGCACGTAGACATGTCACACGTACAGATACGAGGCACCCTACACATATCTGAAGGGACAAACCAATGGATGCAGAGATGTATGGACACAGACACCGGACATGGCTCACATACATGTCTTCATGTACAAAGACATATAGACACACATCCATGGACACAGCCCCTCTGAGCATGTACGGACACCTGTGGGCACACAGATCTAGGCATATACACATAGGCATACTCACACTGTCATATTCACAGATCCTGAAAGAACAGCTGGATGCCAGAAGGCATCATGCATAAGGATTACAGCCTATATAGGTGGCAGCCAAGATCCCAGGAGAATGACCAGGACAACCCCCCCCCAATGGGGGGCACTCTACATGCCCAGGTGGAAACAGATCAGGCTGACACATGGCTGATCCTGCCTGTCCAGCAACTGTGTACAGACTCAGCCAGAACTGTGACCCAGAAGCATGGCCCCACAAAGCCCCTCAAAACCCCAGGAAGGAGCCATGACCTCCACCCCTGCTGTCTGTCAGTCACGGAATCCTGAACATTGAGAGGGAGGGGGACATAGCTTCCTGGTGGGTGTCTGTCTGTGCCCAGAGGCTTCGGGAAAGTCCAGCATGGGCATGGTCCTCATCTTCTCGGAGGTATGGCTGTATACATGGACCTCTTGATGAAGCAGATATTCCATGTCCACAGCGGACAGCCCCCACCCTGAAGCTCTTGGATGCAGACCCTGGGCCAGGGTTGGGAGCAGAACACAGATACGTGCTAGAGGAGCCACTAGCGATCCAAGCAAGGCAGGTCACAGTGGCTGGGGAGAGGTGGAGGGGAGGGGAGAGAGCTGGGGCTACTCTGAAGGCACCACAGTCGCTAGGCAGGAGGTGCCCTGCCACAGAAAAAGCTACAGGAGCCAAGCCAGGCGAGGAGTGGGAGAAACTCTGGTTTTTGACAAAAGGTCCCTTCCTAGGCCGTAGGACTAGAGAGGGTTCCCTTAAAGTGCCTCAACTCCCTCTCGGCCTTGACACTGGAGGCTGGGTGGGGCCAGGGGTCTGGGATGGCCACTCCACTAGGGCGATCAGTCCTTCTGGAGTTAGCAAACATATCTTTGCCCTAGGCCCTCAGAAGGGAGCATCCTTGTCCTCCCCATTCTCCTTGGATATTTTTCCTCCTCCTTTTCCTCCTCCTCCTCTTTTAGACTGAACCCTCTTCACCACCTCCAGGTCCTCCTTTCTCTCTCCCACCCCAGGCCTTTCCCACACCTTCCTCCTCCCTGTCCTTGCTGGTTCTCCAGAGCCTCTGTGAAAGCAGCAGATGTGGGTTGTCTATAATTTAAAATACATTTATTTAGTGTTTCCATTTGTTTCTGGTTTTGTTACACAAAGCTGTTAAATAAATACATTCTCTGCAGTCACTCAGGTTCACACCTATTCGCCACACAGATGAGGTAGAGAAATCACAGGCTGTACAGGACTCCACACAAAGACAGCTCCCTTGTGTGTCCACTGGCCTGCCGGGCGGGCCAGCAGTGAGCCTCAGAGCCGGCATGCCCTGGGTGGCCTCCGGGAGCAGGGCAGCTGCTCACTCTACTGCCCGTACAAGAGAGGATCAAAGAGGCTCTGGCCTTCGGGAGCTGCTTCATCCAGAACATTCTAGTATATATTTATACAGAAACAAACCAGCTGGCAGACATTTTCATTCTGCCTTGTTTTAAAAAATACTTTTCTGAATATTGAGGACATAGAGCTAAATGTGGTATTCGATAAAAATACTCTTCCTCTGAACTGGAAGGCTCCTTTCCCCCAGATCTGACGGAGAGGAAGCTCCAGTCTGTGGTAATAGTGTGACTGGGCACGGACATCTCAGAAGGATGGGGTACGCACCCCCACCCACCAGCCATTGCATACTGAGACCCACACTCTCATCCTGGGGATGGGGCATCCATCGGCGGCCTATCATGAACCACAGGAGAATAGACTTTGCTATTTACACATCCAATAAGGACCAGAGGCCCTCATCCACATAAATAGGCTTCCTTTTAATACACAGTCCCACCACCGCCCCGTGCGTGGGTCTTCTGGACACCTGGTGCTCCGAGGGAGCCACTCCTTCCTCAGTAGTTCCTGCTTCCACGCCTGCCACCTGCCCACACTCTAGCTTCCACAGCCATGGGGTTCCTACACAAACCTAAGGCTGGGCTTTCTGGGAGCCAAAGAGTCACCATATTGCAGAGGGGCACAGGCCAACTGGATGCTGACCAGGCCAGCTCAGAGTACACACACTCACACACTCACATAACCCATGCACACACACACACTCTCAACACCCGCTCAGTGTAGCCACCTTTCCCCAGCAGAGACATCAGCAAGACATGATGACAGCAAGTGTGTCTGTCCCTCCAGACCTCCCTTGGTGACACAGAGCAAGAATGGCTTCCTGAGATGGACAGTCAGAAAGCCGTCACGGCCTCTGTCACCAAGCCCGTGCCTCCAGCACCCCAGATCCTACAATTTACATCCAGCAACCTGATCATGGCGCCTGCAGGGTACAGAGGAAGAAGGGCCTCTGACCCCAGGTAAGGTAGAATTGGGGAGTGGGCTTCCAGAAGCCCTGAGGGCCATGGCAGGGTTTCATTGCTTCGTTTCTTTCCAAACATGACCTTGATGTAGTGGTTTCAAACTAGAGCAAGCAGAGGAAGAGGGAGCATAAAGGAACGGGAAGGCGAGGCCTCCCAGATTGGCTTGGCTGGGCCTGGGGCAGGTCAGAGGAAAAAGCCACAGATTAGGAGGTAAGGGGATAGAGAAAATAATAATTACTATATTAGTTAAATAATAATAATAATAATAATTTAAAAGTCACTGATACTCCAAGGAAGTACTCAGGGTCAGAGGGCCAGAGGCTGGGCCCTGGAGATGGAGTGGCTGCTCTCTCCTAGTGGTTTGGCTCTCTGAAGACAGTGCTGGCGTCAGGCTGCTGGACCAGAGGGCAGCCGCGTGATTATAAAGGTGCACCTGCCCTCCAAGCCCCAGAGGAAGCCAAGAGGCAGGGAGGACTAGTCAACACACTGGTGCCCCCACAAGGACCACACTCCAGGGACGGAGGCGACTGAGAAAGCATTACTGCAACGCTCTCGGGTCAGGGGGAGGAAGCTCAAGCCCAAGGCATAAGCGAAAGGGTTGAGGAGGCCAGACAGGGGCCAGCCCCGCCCTCTGGGCCTCTGAGAGGGGAGACAGCCAATCAGCTGTCTGCATACCAGGGCCCCCTAGTGTGCTGGGGGCACCTTTCCTTCCTTGCGGACCTTTTGTGTTGTTGGTGTCGCCTGTGCCCCACACAGCAGGATAGGCTGGGCCTGCACGGCCCACTCTAGGCCCACTCGACGCAGGTTAAAACCTCGTGCGCTGGGTGCAGCGCCTACGCTCCCTGAAGAAGGGCTGGCGGGGCCCGGGAGTCAGCTCCTGCGGGTGTAGAATTCTTCTGATGCTGTGTGCAAAGCCCCACACCCCTTGTGGAGGGGCGGCGGGGCCTCGGGTCAGCCCTTGCAGGTGTAGACCTCCTCTCGCTGTGTGCACTGCCTGCATTCCACGTAGCAGCACCAGCGTACCTGGCACTGGCAGGGCCTCGTCACCACGCGGCTCTGCGTGTTGTGGCCGCGGCCACAGCAGATACTCTCGCAGTTCTTCTCCCGGTGGCACCTGCGGCCTGCGGTGCCAGGGGAAAAGCGGCCAGCCAGGCAGAAGCTGGGGGAGTCGTCCAGGTGGACGAGCTCTGGCGTCCGGGGCAGCGGGTCACCGCCCCCTGACCCGGAGGCCCGGCCCCGTGGTGGGGAGATGGCACCCGCCTCGCCGGTGGCTTCATTGGTCGTGCTGCCCACCTTGAGCGCTGTCTCATATTTGTGTTTCAGGTGCTTCCCCACCTCATGGAAGGGTGCCAGCTGCCGCCAGCAGGTCCGCACGGTGCAGGAACCTGACACACCGTGGCATTTGCAGGTGGTCTCCACCCCAGCCTTTATCACCTGCAAGGGAGGGCAAAGGGACCATGAGGAGCATGCCAGGAAGACCCACCAACCTCAGCCCACCCTGCAGCCCTCACACAGACCTAGACCAGAGCCTGGCCAGCAGGGGGCAGCACCGCGCAGCACCCAGGAAGCCGGGCAACCAGGAGCATTGACTGGTTCTTTCCTCTCTAAGTCAGGACTGCCAGGGGACAGGGGCCCTAAGGCCAGCACCTAGACCTCCAGGATGCATCTCTGCACCTCTATGAACACAGGCTGGTCCACACCCTCTCTGAGACACTTTCTGCCTAACCTCATAACCATCTTTGCCCCACCATCAACAATTTCAGCCTTGCCAATCTCCTACTTGTGATCTCAGCACAATGCTCCTTTGGTAGATGAAGACAAGAATGCCCCCAGTGCCCTCTGTCTAGGCTGATCACACCCCTCCTGATTGCTGGGCTCTAGCAGACATGGCTCAAGCCCTACCACTTAAGTGTGAGCCTGTGAGGGGCATGGGTGCAGAGGCACAAAAAGGTGGAAAAGTACACTTCAATAAGCGTTTTTTTTTTTTTTTTTTTTTTTTTTTCCGAGACACGGTTTCTCTGTGTAGCCTTGGCTGTCCTGGACTTGCTTTGTACACCAGGCTGGCCTCAGACTCACAGAGATCTGCCTTCCCCTGCCTCCCTGAGTGCTGGGATCACAGGCGTGCACCACGGGCCCGGCTTGAGGGCGCCTTCTTAACATAATGCTGCACTTTACAGGGCTTCCGGGGCCAACTCCCCAGGAGAGGAGGTTGCACTCCTCACCCTTTACCCGATGGCCACAAGTAGGAGCGGGCATGGCTGAGCACCAGAATTCCTGGTCTGGTAAGCTGCCGGGGAGCCCCGGGCTAGGCCTTCCCCTTCTTAGGACTTTAGGCCTCCATCTGAGGGATCTCCTGCCTGGCCTCTCAAGCTCAGGGTCTCTCCAAATGTTTCAGATCTTAGGAGAGTTGAGGGGCAGAAGAATGTGGGGGGGGGGACCTCTTCCCAGGTGGGCCCTAAGCCACTGCTGAGCTCCCAAGCTGGTCCACTGGAGAGGGATTAAGCAGGGTAGCTATCTCCTCGCTCTCCTGCCAGGCAACCGGAGAGTCCCACTTCACCACGCTTTCCTGAGAAAGCAGGACAGATTTAATTAAAGCGAGGCTGCCTGGGAGCAGCAGGCTGATGGAGCGCATTCACACATTCTGACTTTTCATTAATAGCTCAAAAGGGGAAGGTGGGGAGGGAGGGTCCAGCAGGGAAGAAAGCGTGGCCTGGCCTTGGAGATTGAATCTGCCCTCCTGGGCTTCCCTCCCCACTCGGCCTAGGCCTGGGAAGGCACCGGTTGGGAAGGAGGCAGACCAATCCTTTAATAAGTGGGGGATTCAGAACTCCGATTACTCAATAACAAGGAGCTCAGGGCAGCACTGGCTCTAATTACCTTGCTGTCCTCCCCAGACTGGAGATGCAGAGCCAGGGAAGGGGAGGAGGATCACCCCCCCTCTCCCCGGCTCCTGAGGTATGGACCCTGCTTTCCCAAGCCCAAGCAAGAGTTTGGAATTTGGGCCATGCAAAGATGAGGTGAGGGGTGCAAGGGGTTCTGTCTCATTCCCTTTCAGCCATAGGTAGCCAGGAGCATCAGAGATGCAAGTGGAATCTGACCAGAGCTTGGCCATGCCTGCAGCCCACAGCTCCCCAAAGGCCTACTGGAAAGCTAAGAAATATGCACTCCCCCCCCCCTTTTTTTTTTCTTGTTTTTAAAGTTGGGTCTCTGTCTTCCAGGACAGAGCCTTGGCCGAAGACAACATTGAGTTCAGGCAAATGGGTCCTGTACCCTCGCCTCTTCCTTGGGACCTCTCATCTACGATTCTGTGGCTGCTCTCTACCTCTGTGGTAACTCTGTGGATCGCTGTGACAGGTAGGCTACAAACCGCCAGCCTCTGGGGCAGGCAGATTGTCCAGAGAGACTAGCCCCGGTCCTTGATCTGCCAGATACAGATGCAGAGGCGAAGGCTCTTCCCCACACTACCACAGGGTACCTCCATGACTAGTGACCCCGTCTGACCCTTATCTAAGCAGGATTCCAGGACCCTAGTTGGCACTGCACGGCTGGAACAGGCGGCTCCTGTCTCCTCCTGGCCACGTTTCTTCTTTAGTCCCCACAACACATACCCATTCACCCTTACTCCCTCCCCTGTGTGCCCAGCCCCAGTGTCCCTGTATCCACCCCATCAAACCTGCCCTATACAGGTCTCCTTAGTGTCCAACCCTGAAATACTCACTGGGGCCCGGCTCCTCTCAGACACAGCCATCCCCGCCATCCTGCCCTGTGCCCCTCCCGGCTTGCCTTCACACCCACGAGGTTGTTGTGGAAGTCCACCCGGGCTCGCAGATCCTTGCTGGACCGCCGGCCCAGGAACTCCTTGACAAACTTGCTGCTGTACTTGAGGTTGTCTCCGCAGCCGCCCCACTGCCAGGCCTCGCGGTTTTCCAGGTCGGGAGCCTCGTCACAGGTGCAGCGCTCCATGCGTCCGGCACTGCATGCTTTGGCCAGGGCGTGCGTCAGGCCCGCCGAAGAGATGGCGTAGAGGAAAGCCGTCTCCTTGAAGCCTGGGGACAGCAGTAGAGCCAGTGAGGCCCAGGGGACAGGTGGGCACCATAACTTCACATAGGTGCTAGCCAGGGAGGAGTCTGGGGTAGTGCGTCTCTGAGGGCCTATGGCAGGCATCCGGAGAGAGGTGCTGAGGTTACAGTTGGGTGGGACAGCCTGGTGAGGGGGCAAGGCTCCAGAGCCTTCTGTGGTACCTCTAGCGTGGTGGTCAGAGATCTCATCCAGGTCCCCAGTGTCTTGGCCCATGCCTGGGGTCCTTGGCAAATCCAGGTTTAGACCTCAGGTTCTCTACTATAACCTCTCATCTGCCATTTATCCACCTCCTATCTATCTATCTATCTATCTATCTATCTATCTATCTATCTATCATCTACCTATCGATCGATCCATCACTTATCATCTGTCTTCATTTCCCACTATCTACCCATGTCTACCTATCATCTGTCTATTTATTATCAGTCATCTATGCACATAGATTGGCAAGTACTCTACCTGTTCCCTCAGGTCCCCAGTTTTTAAAGTTAGGAAGGGATTCCCATGAGTCTCCGTGCCCAGAAGGTACAAGGAGGATGTGTCCTGGGCTGGAGGCTTTCTGTCAAAGCTGATGGTATGATGGGGTGAGACGGGAGGGTCCGGCTGCGGGGAGGCAGGCTTACCTCGCTTGAGCAGGCTGGCTCGGTAGCGGCCCTCCAGGGTGCAGTTCCAGCGCTCGAAGCGGAACTGGTACTGGCACTCCAGCGCGCTCATGCTCACCGCCTCCACCAGGGTCTCGGCCACACCTGGGTCCCTTCGGCACATGCGTCGCTGCTTGCGCTCCAGCTTCAGCCTGTCACAGGCCTTGTAGTGTGCTTGGGCGGCAGCCTCAGTCTCCAGGGTCAGAGGGAGGATAGTCAGGGGTTCGCTTCCTGTTAGCCTGAGGACACAGAGGAGAGAGTGAGCCCCTGCCATAGGGCGAGGAGAACTGTGTGGTGTCTGAGGGTCTCCCTGGGAACAGAGGCACCAGCAAGCGCACCAGCAAGCACACTGAGCCACGTCAGAGAAGGACAGGAGTGGTAAGATGGGAGCACCCAGCACCAGGCGACCCAGAAAGAACCAGGCAGTGCATGGCACCGTCTCTGCTTGCCCTCACCTCTACCAACACTGCCCCATTCCTGACAAAATGCCAGGGACCCCCATTTAACCCAAGGCCCTCACAGATGCTCAGACATGGCCTCTAACAGCTATGTAGTTGTCCAGACAGTTCCTGTTGATACCAGCATTGATAGATAAAGCCCAGTTACTGCCTCAGCAGAATAGAAGTGTAGGACTACAGTGGGAGATGCAGGATTACAGGGGGGGAAGGGCCAGGCCCAGGACCCCAGACTCTGTCCTCACTGTCCTCCTCCCTAGCTTGGGGACCCAACTCTGTGCTCTCACCAGCCAGGAGTGTCCTGGGCTCCCTTCTCTTCCCTGACCCCATGAAGCCTGTCCGGAAGCCCTATGGTATGGCTGTGAAGGTCTCTCAGGACCTCGGACACATTAGCCCCCGGAGAAGCAGGCTCCAAACCTCCACCTTTAACAGCATCTGTAAGAACTATGCGGGGTGTGAGCTTTTGAGAGTTCTTTACCACAGCCCCATCTAGATGCTGTGATAGCATCTACGCTATGGGGTAGGCTCTACTCTAGGAGTTTGGAGTGGGGACAGAGCCTCTGTACCCTCAGGGGTACAGAAAGGAGGGCTGGAGCCTCAGAGGTACAGAAGGGAGGGGCAGGGCCTTAGAGAGAAGGAAGTTGTCAACTGGGCACTCTAAAGGTTAGGAGAGAGCTGCAAGAAGGGCCCAGGACCCAGGCACAGAAGCTTGAACCATCAAGGACTAGTAGTTAAGCTCAAAGCCTTGGGAGTCCTCCAAAGGAGCTGGGTCGAGCATCCCTCAGGCCTTGTCCACCAACTCTGCTTACACAGCTCCAAGCTTCAGCCTCTCAGACACCAGGGGCATCAGGTCAGCTCCCACCAAGGTAGAGTCAGGGAAAGGCTGGGGAGCAAGACCCACCGAGCAATGGCCAGCACTGTGAGAACCAAGGCACCTTATAGAGGGGAGTGCTCTGTCCTCAGACAGGAACGTCATTATTATGGTCAAAACAGAACACAGAAAGGCTCAGGTGCCCATCTGTACATCACCAGGACTCTCCGTCAGAGACAAGCCATGCTCAAGGACCTTCGGAGGAGACTGGGGACTAGGAGGAAACACGCAACTGGAGTTTTGGACAGGTAGAGGGGAACGGTTGGACAAACTGGAAAAAAAGAAAAAAAAGGTAGTGACAGGGGAATGCTGAAAGAGACTGCGTAGCTTCCCCTGATGCCTGGACAGCCTGGACGTGTCCAGACAGCATCAGCTCACGCTCTGCCTGTGGGACTGAACACAGGGTGCCCCTAAATTCTTGGGTAAACATGTCTCACCATGTAAACAGGGACTTGCGGAGACCAGGGTCCCCGTCTGGGCCAGCCTGTCTCTGTACTGTCCTGTTGGGGCTGACTTGTCTCAAAGCTCTTTTCTCCCTCTGGGTGGGCTCAGCACAGGTATCTGGGAAGGCGTGCCATCAGAATGACACAGCATACAGGGGCACAGAGACAGGGCTGGGATTTGGGAGTTTCCAGCACTTGATCGAGAGGGCTTGGAAGGAGGTGGGGACCGTAATGGGAAGGTTTCCCAGGAGACCAGCGTCAAATGCAAAAATAGCCCACGGAAGCGCTGGCAGAAAAGATGAAGGGTCTTAAGAGAGCGCTAGGATGAAGCGTTTCCTTCCTTGTGACTGAGGGCTGGTGGCAGGGAATGAGTGTATCGGAACACCTAGAAGACTAAAAGCCTTCAGGGTGTTGCAAAGGGCACAGAGACAGGAAGGAAACAGACAATCCAGGAAGTTGTTTGCAACCTACTTCCCAGAATAAAGCCAACTCTATGAGCGTGCCAGTGGGTGGTGAGTGCGCGCGCTCGTGTGTGTGTGTGTGTGTGTGTGTGTGTGTGTGTGTGCGCGCGCGCGCACGTGTGACTGTGGACTTATATATCTTCTTCTAAATGAACTACCACAAGAAGAGAATAGGAGTAACCCTCGAAGCAGGTAGGGAAAAAAGGTGACTATCTATGTGCTTGGAATACGGAATGTCCTCCCCGGGCTCAGGCTTTGAACACTTGGTCTCCAGCCAGTAGGCATTATTGGGGTGGGTCTTCAGAAGCTTCAGGGAGTGTGGCATGGCTGGTGGAGGTAGGCCATAGGGGTGGGCCTCAGGTGATGTGCTCAGCCCTTGGTTCTGGTTACACTCATGGCTACCCGGCCTAGAGTGATGTAAGCAGCCTCTGCCACACTGCATCTCCAAGCCTCAGCCATCCATGATGGACGAAAAACTCTCTGAAGCAGTGAGCCTGAGCATGCCCTCCCTTAGGCATTTTTGTCATTGGGATGCAAAAGTCACTAACGTAATAGATGACATCCATGTACTACGCGTCCCAAAAAGCTGGAGAGACTTAGAACATCGAAGACTAGAGGTGTTTGAGAAGACAGTGCTTACATAACTTCAAAACCAGACAACACAGGCCCATGAGAAAGCATCACCGATTTCCTCTTAGTATGCAGGGGTCTGTGCTGGCTAGTTTCAGGTCAACTTTTTGTTGTTGTTTGTTTTATTTGAGACAGGGTTTCTCTGTGTAGCCCTGTCTGTCCTTACTCACTTTGTAGACCAGGCTGGTCTCAAACTCACAAAAATCTGCTTGCCTCAGCCTCCCAAAGTGCTGGGATTACAGGCGTGCACCACCACGCCCAGCTGTTTTAGGTCAATTTAAGACAAGCCAGGATCACTGGAGAGGAGAGAACCCGGACTGAGGAAATATCTCCATAAGATCAGCTACAGGCAATCTGTAGGACATTTTCCTTTTCTTTTTTGTTTTTTGTTTTTAAGGATTCTTTTTTTTAAAGTATTCCAAATGCATATATGCCTACACTCTAGAGGAGGGCACCAGATCTCATTATAGATGGTTGTGAGCCACCATGTGGTTGCTGGGAATTGAACTCAGGACCTCTGCAAGAGTAGACAGCGCTCTTAACCTCTGAGCCATCTCTCCAGTCCAAGGATTCTTGTTTTTAGTGATTTTTTTTTTAATGTGCACTGGTGTTTTGCCTGCATGTACATCTGTGGGAGGATGTCAGATCCCCCTGGAACTGGAGTTACAAACAGTTGTGAGCTGCCACATGGGTGCTAGGAATTGAACACAGGCCCTCTGGAAGAACAGCCAGTGCTCTTAACCTCTGAGCCATCTCTCCAGCCCCGTGTAATGCATTTTTTAAATTAGTGATTGAGGTGGGAGGGCCCAGCCTGCTGCGGGTAAGGTCACTCCTGGGCTGGTGGCCCTGGGTTCTCTAAGAAAGCAGGCTCAGCAAGCCAGTAAGCAGCACTCTCCATGGCCGCTGCATCTGCTCCTGCCTCCAGGCTCCTGCCCTGCTTGAGTCCCTGCCCTGACTTCCTCCAGCGATGAGGAGGCATCAGCCTAATAAGCCCCCTTCTTCCCAAGTTGCTTTGGTTATGGTATTCCATCAGAGCAACAGGAGCCCTAAGACAAGGTCCCCACTTACAAGAGTTTGGCTTTACAGTGGTGCAAGAGGGTGAGGAATCCAGGAGAGAAGAGCGTACTGCTTTCTGCCCTTTCCTGTTCTGGCACTGTGGAACACGGAGTTCCCTGCAGCTGGTCTCAGCATCCTAAGAGGAACAGCAATGTTCAGAAGTGCCAGAAGCAGCAAGCATATGATGAAACAGGGCTGGCATCGACTCTGCCCCAGCATAAGGTGGGCTCCGTGTTCTGAGTGTGCGGTGGGCTGGCCTGAGCTGGGGTCTTGGAAGCCTGCAGATAGTCTGTGCACTTTTTTGGCTTATCACACATGATAGGTCTCTCAGGACATAGCCCATCTTAAGTCAGGGAGCGCAGTGTCACAGGGTCCCCACGAGTGGGAGAACGAAGTGCTGGTGAATGTGTGAGGGGGAAGTAGGAAAGGGTTGGATCTGTGTGAGCCGTGTGCCAACACCCCACAGATGGCATGCCCGTCAGGCTGCAGACAGGCTTGGGGACAGAGGGGAACACTCAGAACAGGCCACCTGGGGAGGGGAACGCATTCTTTTCCACACAGCTGTGTGCATCCCGGGGCACAGATGGCTTCTCCACAAACACGTGGCGAGTGCCTGCTGAGATGATTCTCCACCCAGAGGTTGTGGCCCTGTAGCCCAGACAGCATCCCCCGTATCTTGCCCTGCCGTGGCACAGGCTCTGCCTACTGGACCAGCTGCCTGCCACACAGAGAGCACCTGCTGCCAGGCTCAACGCGGCAGCTGCCGCACAGCCCTGGTGCTGTCTGGCCTAACATGGCAGACAGCGCCAGCTGCACAGCTCAGCCACCCAGCTGGGCACAAACGTTCCAGGCAGGGTGTGGGTTTCTCTTGAGGCCAGAGGCCTCATGCACTCGACATGGTCTTCTGGGCAAACACAGTCCATAACGCAATCACACATCATGTCTGTTTCTCTATGATTCTATTTCTATCTGTCTACACATAGGCCCCTCATCTTCACACACAGACACACACACACACACACACACACACACACACACACACACACACACAATGGGTTAAACTGGGGCTGCTGCAGTTCAGTTGGCAGAGTGCTTGCTTGTCTTTCGAAAAACCTTGGGTTCTCTAAAACCAGAGATGATAGCACACACCTGTAATTCCAGCACTTGGGCAGTAGAGGCAGGAAGATTCAGAACTCAAGGTCACCTTTGGCTCCATAGATTGGGGCAGTCTGAGCAACACGAGATCCTGTCTTAAAAGAGATAGCTCAAAGGTTTAGAGCACTCATTGCTCTTTCGGAGGACCGGGACTCAATTCCGAGAATG